TCGGGTAGAAGCGTGCTCAAAATCCAAGGACCAGCGGACATACACTGGAAATCTTCCGAGCGTAGATGAACAATGTTTAGTTTTGAAATGTGTACGAGTTAGAAATTTGGTGAAAGGGGTTCAGCTATTCCCAAGTTAAGGGTCCGAACGAACCAGGATCACCTAGCGTCTCAGTTTCGAATTACATCCCCTCTGAAGGAGGTCGATATTTTATGATTTAGACCAAAATAATAGTTCTCCGAACGACCTGCTGGCACCACATTTATTATGACAAAGAAAAGATAAGATACACTTTATTGCTTCAAGTAGGAAATTCAGTTCTCGCATTAAAATACAATTGACAGTAAAAAATTAAAACAATGATCAAATATAATAAAATATAATAATTACAATGTAAAAACATTATTATTATTATTATTATTATTATTATTATTATTATTATGAGACCAACGTGAATATTTTTTGAAACTTAAATGAACAATGATTAGTTTTGAAATGAGTATGAGTCAGAAATTTGCCGAAAGGGGTTCAGGTATTCCCAAGTTGAGGACCAGTCACCTAGAGTCTCAGTCTCGAATTACATTTTCTCTGAAGGAGGTCGATATTTTATGATTTAGACCAAAATAATAGTTCTCCGACCGACCTGCTGCCACCACATTTGTTATGAGACCAACGTGAATAATTTTTGAAACAAAATACTAAGGCCTAAGTGAAGCAAATCATAAATATTTAACACATTCTTTAAAAAAGTATTTTAAAGTGCAAATTATATTACATTCCTGGAGAACACATGGAATTTGTCTCGAGGCTATAAGTTGTTGAATATCTCCATGTAAGGCTTCCATTTACGAAAAGAAAAAAAAATTGTGGACACATTACCGTATATAAGGTTGGGAATACCGTGGGAGTGGAACTCAACAGTAGCGGATCCAGAGATGTCCGAAAATGGGGGGGGGGGGAGTGGGCCGATCGAGACAACACTATACCCTTGGGGGTCGTAGGTCATTCCCCCGAGAAATTTTTTCTAGACGCCCGAAAATAACCTCTGAGGCGTTTTCCTCTCACGGAATTAATACTAGGCTCAGAATTCACATACAGTGTGTAATAATTAAGTGTCATTCATCTAAGTAGAGCTAGGCGTTTGGCCGGAAAGGTAATGTTCCTGTTTCTTGCAATTTACTCTTGTAAACTTTAGGTATTAATCACATTCTTCTACTTGAAATTTTTTTAAATATATGGAATATAGGCTTATATGTACAACATTTGCATCATTGTATATATTTCATACAAACATACTCTTGTTATAGGCTGCATATACATACACACACACATACATATATTAATACACTAAGTCAATCGTGACGTCATCACTGTAACTCGCAATGTTATTTGCCTATTCCCCAGCGTCCAATATTTTTTTATTATTGGACGCTCGGCTTGATTTTTTTAAGGTTCGTGTGCAAAAAAAAAATCCTCATTTTTTCGTAACCACCGCGATAAAAATTGAATTGTAATTGAAAATTGCTTTCGTAAAACAAGCTTAATTCGAACCCGAAGAAAGTTACTTCAAATTCAATATTAAGTATGAACAATTAAGGAATTCATTGAATCAATGGACCCTCATAAACACAACAAAGTAAACGTTTAATAGAAATATTCTAGACCTATTTTAAAGACTCAAGGAACACATTTAGATGTAGGCCTACGGCCAGGCAGGCCGGCCGCCTGGCCTAGTATAAAAAACTAAAATTAAAAGACGGCGATTGACTTATAAAGCAATTAGTAGAGCATGCATCGTGCACTAAACGGAAAATTATTATACTTAGGTTAGATTTAATGCATTCAAAAATTTCCTTCGGGCCTTACAGGCCCTCAGGATTTTTTTTCAAGCATTAAATCTAACCTTCGTACAATAATTTTCCTATAGTGTACTATGCGGAGCTCTACTAATTGCTTATTATATGAACATTTACATATTTAATAAGTAAGTACTATTCTACAATTATAATTAACAAAACCTGTTTTATTATTTTCCCTCAATGGTTTTAATACAAAATCATTTCAATTTCTATAAGACATTTAACTTTAAAATATGTACTGTACATAATATTATACGTATAAATTCATTAAAATAAACTATACGGTATGTTTTTCACACTGTTCAAACAGTGTGGAAAACAGTGTGAAAAACTATTGTTTGTTTTGTATAAGGATGCACCATAAATGCAAGTGCGCAGCTGATTCAAAAGCGATTTCCAATAAAAAGATTTTGATTTTAATTTTGGATGATACGGCTGTGTATTCCTCTCGTAGCAAAAGCGCGAATTATGCTACAAGTAGGCCTAGTAAAGTTTAATGTTTTCATTCAATTCGACTGATTCTTTTGTGAACTTCATAACGTCATTGACCTTGCTATTCATCCGTCTATAGATGCAAAGGTATTCCGATCGAATTTTCCAGGACGCTCCTCATCAGGGGTTTTCCCTTCGAGCTTCCGACTCGCTTATTC